AATTCGTGGATTCTTATTTTAAACTATTATGATTAAACCCTGATCCTTCATGATGTTCTCGTCCCCTTCCTCTTCTTCCCTTCTCTTCCTCCTACCACCATGTAACTCTCATAAAGGAAATTATTTAATTGATGTGGAGGCTTAGAGTTTCCAATGTTTAGCCCATTGTCTTCATGGCATGGAGCATGGTAGCTGGTGTATGGTAGAATACAGGCAGACATGGTGTTGGAGAGTTCTACATCTTGATCCAAAGGCAACAGGAAGTGAACTGTCTCAGTAGGTTTGGCTTGAGCATATAATATGACCTCAAAGCCAACCTTCAGAATGAAACACTTCCTCTAACAAGTCCCCACCTGCTCCAACAAAGCCATACCCCCTAATAGTGCCACTCCCTTAGGAGGCATTTTTTTCTTTCAAACCACCATAGCAGTCATTAATTACCTATAGCTTTTGATCCAGGGGTAGAGCCTTGTGATACATCATGCATTGACATTGGCATGTCAAGTGATGGTGACATTTCCGAGTCTTATTTACAAGGTATAATCTGGGCAACCACAGGTCCTAGTACAAAAGGAGGTGTGGCCAGAGAGAAAGAGATCTAGATATGGGAACAGAGACAGAAGCATTTTGAAGGAGGAAATTGAAAGAAAGGGGGAGCCTTAAGTGTTCTTGAGGCGGTATAGCAACTTATATCTGTTCTTTTATCCCCAATTGAATTCTGCACATACCTGGTCATTGTAGAACATACACACCATATTTATGATCTGATTTCATTTCTTTGTTGGAGTTGTTTTAGCACAACATTTCCCCTGCTATCAATAATTTAATTAAAATACCCACATATTGAGAAGAAACCACTTCTAAATACAGTAATGCTATTAATACTATATTTGTTGAGCGCAAAGCTAATCTGTAATAATGTTGGCTATGGTACTGAAAAGCAAACAAGAGATAGTACAAATTCTGGTGAAATAGGATGACTCTATGAAGTGATTTTGCCTGTTTTTCCACCTGTTCTAGCTTGAAATAATTATCTAGAGCATCAGTTTGTTTGTGGCTTTCTGAAGGCATACAGAATAAATTTCAAATGAGAAGAAATATTTTGATTATTTCAATTCTATTAATTCTTAACTCTGTTATTTGTGAGCACCCTCTATTAGGAGACACATAGAATTCAATTCTACAGTATTTTCAGCCTTTTGTCTCAATTAAGAATAAATATTTAAGGCATATTTTAAATTTTCTGGGGATAGAAGAAGCCTAAATGGGTAAAAATCTTGTTGTATATAAGTGAATACCTGAGTTTATATGACAATGACCACATGAAACCAAGTGATATAGGAAGAAGTCTGTAATCCTGGCACTGTGAAAACAAACACAACTGCTGTGTGATAGCCATGCCATGCCCTGTAGATAGTGCTCCTCCCTAACAGCCAAATGTTAAACTCTTTCATCATCTCGTCCAATGTATTCCATGAGTCTTGAAGGGGTTGATATTTAGGCTAAAATAATAGTCAATTATTCTGAGCACTTTGGTTAGTTGTGAATCTCTGAATTAACTGCTACAAACTGCAAAAAAGGAAGATTCTCTGAGAAATACTGAGAGCAACAATAGTCTTTTGGCACAAACTTAAATATTTAGGTATCAGTCTAACAACTTGACCATTTAGCAAAACAAAAGCTAGAGTTTATTGCCTCCCTAGCCAGGGCCTATGACCAGGTCCAACAGTACCATTTTGAATTTCCTTCTTCAGAGTGGGCATCTGATCCATAGCATTGATGCCACTTTTCAACCAGTGGGTATAGCTAGTCTAGAAAATTGGTATTATAGCATTAACCATCAAAGCTGGTTAAGACCATTGATGGCCTTTCTCCCCCAGCTGCCTGCATAGCAACTTCTTACACTATGGAAGCTGTTCGGCAGAGAGGAAATTTTCATCTTAATTCCAGCATGATATCTGTATGTTGAACAGGAAAAGTGATCTTTAGAATCAGGCTTTTTTCCATCAAATTCTGGTGGGCAACCAAGTTAAATGGCAAAATCTGGTAGTGCTTTATATATTATTTTATTTTTCTATGTTTGAAACAATCTTATTCTACATATCAGTCCCAGTTCCCTCTCCCTCCCATTCTCCCAGTCCCCCTACCATTTCCTCATCCTATCCCCCATCTACTCCTAAGAGAGGATGAGGTTCTCCCCTGGGGGATCACAAATGTCTTTGACATCATTTTGAGCAGCACCAAAGCCCTCATTCTCCATCTAGCCTGAGCAAGGTGTTTATTTATAGGTAATGGGCTCCAAAAAAGCCAGTTCATGTACTAGGGATAAATACTAATTCTACTACCCATGGCCTCATAAACTGTACACTTGCATTCAGAGGTCCTAGTTTGATCTAATGCATGATCGCTGGCTGTCATTCTGGAGTCAGTGAGCTCCCACATCCTCAGGTAAGCTATTTCTGTAGGTTTCTACAAAATAGTCTTGATTCCTTTCCTCCCCCTCTACAAGTAGACTCCAGAAGTTAGGCCCGGTGCTTAGATATGGTTCTCTGCATCTGCTTCAATCAGGTACTGGTTGACGGCTCTATGATGACAATTAAGGTAGTCATAAATCTGATTATATGGGAAAGTCAGTTCAAGTACCCACTATTGGGGCAAGTCTTATAGATTTCCCTAGTACCAGGTTTCTACTTCACCCTATAATGTTTCCCTCTATCAAGGTATCTCTTTCCTTGCTCTCCCTTTCTGACCTTCTCCCAAGTTGACCCTTCTCATCTCTAATGTTCTCCTTTGCCTTCCCCTTTTACCCTCCCCACTCTTCTACACCCCTCTCTGCATGCTCCCAATTTACTCAGGTTATTTTGCCTATTTCTCCTTCTTATGGGGGTTGTGATATATTCTCCGTCTATCTTAAGTCCTGCTTGTTTCCTTGCTTCTCAGGGATTGTGGACTATAGGCTGGTTATCATTTGCTTTATGTCTAATATCCACCAATGAGTCAGTACATACCCTGTTTATTTTTCCATGCCTAGGTTACCTAACACTGGATGATTTTTTGTTATTGTTTCTCATTTTTTTCTAGTTCCATCCACTTGCCTGTGAAATTTAAGATGTCATTGTTTTTGCCTCTTAGTAGTACTCCTTTATGGATATGTACACATTTTCTTTATTCATTCTTTGGTTGAGGGGCATCTAGGTTGCTTTCAGATTCTGGCTATTACAAATAATACTGCTATGAATATAGTTGAACAACTGCTTATGTTGTTTGAATGTACATATTTTGGGTATATGCCCAAGGGTGGTATTGCTAGGTCTTGAGGTATATCTATTCCCAATTTTCTGAGAAACCACCATACTGATTTACAAAGTGTCTATACAAGTTTCCACTCCAACCAGCAACATAGGAGTGATCCCTCTCCAGCATAAGCTTTGTTTAGTGTCTTTGATGTTCTGACAAGTGTAAAATGACATAAAATCCCATACATTAATGTTGGGAGATTTCAACACTCCACTCTCACCACTACGAGATAAAAACTTAACAGAGAAATATGGGACATAACAGAAGTTGTGACTCAATTAGGTTTAACAGACATCTATAGAAAATATACAAAAAGCATATACCTTCTTCTCAAAACCTCATGTAACCCTCTCTAAAATCAGTCACATATTCAGCAACAAAGCAAACATCAACAAATTGGAATAACCCACTGAATCCTTCTGGATCACCATGGTTTAATGTTACAATTCATCAACAACACGGAACACTACAAACTCATGGAAATTGAACAATGTTCAATTGAATCTTCCCTGGGTCAAGGAAGAAATAAAGAAATTCAAGACTTATTGTAATTCACCAAAAATGAATACACAACATACCCAAAATTATGGGAATCTTTGAAAGCAGTGTTAAGAGGTAAGTTCATAGCATTAAGTGCCTACATAAAGAAAGTGAAGAACAAGAACTTTCATACCTGAAATCTTTAGAACAAAAAGAAGCAGACTTACCCACGAGAAGTAGATATCAGCAAAGAATCAAACTGGGGGCTAAAATCAATAAAATAGAAACAAATAGAATAATACAAGGGATCAATGAAACAAAATGTATCCTTTGAGAAAGTCAACAAGATAGACAAACCTTTATCCAAACTAACCAAAAGGCAGAGAGAGACTATGAAAATTCACAAAATCATAATGAAAAGGGGAACATAAAAACAGACACTGAGAAAAGTCAGAGAATTGTCAGGTCATACTTCAAAAACCTGTACTCCACAAAATTAGAAAATTTTCTTGATAGTTATAACTTACTAAAATTAAATCAGAGACAGATAAACAATTTAAATAAACCTATTACCCCTAAGGAAATAGAGGCAGTCATCAAAATTCTCCCAACCAAAAAAAGCCCATGGCTAGATGGTTTTATTGCTGAATTCGACACAAAATTCAAAGAAGAGCTAGTACAAAAACTCCTCAATTTGTTCCACACAATAGAAACAGATCTAAATAGAGAATTCTCAACAGAGGAATTTCAAATTGCTGAAAGACACTGAAGGAATTGCTCAACATGCTTATCCATTGGGGAAATACATGTCAAAACAACTCAGATTTTTTTTATAATATATAGAAATACTGATGAAACTTACTTTATTAATTGTGGTTTGTTTTTAAGTTTCTACTTGATTTGATAGTAGACAGTATGCTTAACTTTAGGTAATATTTTGTGAATTATTACTATTTTCTACTTTATTTGGATAACTCTGATCTCTTTAATATGCAGTGATATGTTCATATATTAATCATATGTTAATGCTTTCATCTTTTATTTCCTAAGCACTTGGTTATGAAATTAAAATGCATTTAGTTTTGTTTTTACATTACATTTTAAAATCTGTATTGTTGTTTAGGCTCTAAGAAAAGCTAAATGCTATCCTTTTCTGTTTTGTTTTATTTACAATTAATCATTTGCTATCCAGTCTTCAAATATTTTTTTCTGTTTTTAATCAGGTTGACTTAGTGAATATAGGAAGCTCTGACATAGTGGATGGAAATCATAAGCTGACTCTTGTTTTGATTTGGAATATCATCCTCCACTGGCAGGTAAATATACTACCAGACATTGCCTTTTTGCAACATGTTTGTTGCTAATCTTTTTTTTTTTTTTTTTTTTGATCTCTTTGACCTACAAAATAATCACATATATTACTAACATTAACTAGCTATCTACATAGGATTGCCTGTTAAATTTAAATGTGATTTTAGATAATGGGGATTATTATAAAATAAGTTCTGGTATAATAGCATGGGAATTGTTATTCTGTCATTGGTTAAGGTTGGCCAAAAAAGACAAAATCTCAACATATCTAAAAATTTTAACAAATATGTGTACATCATAAACTGCAGAATTTTTTATGATTTTTTTATTTAATTTTATATAACAAAGTCCAATTAAATGAAAACAAATATTTATACACAATATTTGGGAATTTGGGCGCCGTTCTTTCCAAACTACTTCCTGCTGGTAAGTGGCGCTGTCTTGGGGGATTCGAAGAAGATTCAGATATCCTAGCTGTAGTCTGTAGGGCTGTTTTGTCCAGCTGTTTTGAATGTAGGATCAGCTTGTACTCTGTTTCAGGCAGTCTGGTGTGATCAAACCACACTAGTCTGGAAGGAATCCACATCTTTTCATTTTCTGTGGAAACAAAAATAGAAATCCTTTTCCCCAGTAACTTGTTCTTCAAGTTAATTTTTGGAGTCAAATCATTTTTTTTAATTTATTATTTTACATGTCGATCCCAGTCCCCTCTCCCTCCCTTCCTCCATCCCTCCCTCCCCTCCAGCTCTCCCTCCCTGCTTCCCTCCCTTTTACCCTCTCTGCCCTCTCACATGCACTCTACACACCCTCCCCTCCCATCCCCCCACCACAATTCCATATGTAGGGGAATGCCATCCAGTTGGGGTCATGCAGATGTGACAGGTCCTGTGAATTAGGGACTAGGGCTTCTCTCCTGTCTCTAGAATAAGGCAGTTATCCCTCCATGGGGGATATGTTTGCAAAGTCCTTTTGTGCACCAGGGATACATCCTGGCTCCACTGTCTGAGGTCTCTTAGACTGCTCAGACCTTCTGGCTGAGACCCATATTCAGGGGGGACTGATTCAGTCCCCTGCTGGTTTCCCAGCTATCAGTCTAGTGGCCCTCAGCTCCTCCTTGTTCAGGTAAGCTGTCTCTATGTGCTTCTACCGCATGGTCTTGTCCTCTCCATCTGTTTCTGGGTTCTAGTTCAACTCAGTGTTTATGTATGGGTGTTTGCTCCTATTTTCAACAGGCATTAGTTGAGGGCTCCATGGAGAAATTAGTTGTTGATCTCACACTCTGGGAAGGGCATTTATGATAGCCTTTCCACGGACGCTGAGATTGTTAGTTGGGAGCAGTCTTGTAGTTCTCTCGACCTTTCTTTGTGTTCAATTTTACCTTCAAACCAATATTGGCTCCCTCTTTTATGTTCTCTCTCTCTGTCTCTGTCTCTCTCTCTCTCTCTTTCCTATCTTCCATTCCTAATCAGGCTCAATCCTCCTGGTTGCACATGCCTTCCTCTCCCCCCCCCATTTTCTCCTACTTCTCTCTCCATTCGCTGTCCTCCCCCCATCTGAGCTCTGGGGGACTTGTCCCTTCCCAGTTCTGTGAGGGACTTTATATGAATCTCTTAGAATACACCTTGTATCCTAGTTCCTCTGGTGATGTGAATTATAGGCTGGTGATCATTTGATCTAGTTCTAAAATCCATATATGAGTGAGTACATACTGTGTTCCTCTTTTTGTGACTGGGTTACCTCATTCAGCATGGTTTCTTCAAGTGCCATCCACTTGCCTGCGAATTTCAAGATATCATTATTTTTTTCTGCAGAGTAGTATTCCATTGTGTAGATGTGCCACATCTTCATTAACCATTCTTCAATTGAGGGTCATCTAGGTTGCTTCCATGTTCTTGCTATTACAAATAGTGCTGCTATGAACATAGCTGAACAGATGTCTTTGTTGCATGGATGTGAATCCTTTGGGTATATGCCTAAGAGGCGGATTGCCGGGTCCTGTGGTAAACTAATTCCCATTTTCCTGAGGTACCGCCATACTGATCTCCAAAATGGCTGTATGAGTTTGCACTTCCACCAGCAGTGGAGGAGTGTTCCACTTTCTCCACATCCTCTCCAACATAAGTCATCACTGGTGTTTCTAATTTTAGGCATTCTGGCAGGGGTAAGATGGTATCTCAAAGTTTTTTGATTTGCATTTCCCTGATAGCTAAGGATGTGGAGCATTTTCTTAAGTGTCTTTCAGCCTTTTTGATTTGCTCCATTGAGAATTCTTTCTTCTGTTCTGTACCCCATTTTTAATAGGGTTATTTGGTGTTTTGTTGCCTAGTTTCCCGAGTTCTTTGTGTATTTTGGAGATCAGCCCTTTGTGGGATATAGGCTTAGTGAAAATATTTCCCAGTCAGTGGGCTGCCGTTTGGTATTGTCAACTGTGTCCTTTGCCTTACAGAAGCGTCTAAATTTGAAGAGATCCCATTTATTAATTGTTTCTTTCAGTGTCTGTGCCCCTGGAGTTATGTTCAAAAAGCAGTCTCCTATACCAATTTGTTCAAGGGTACCTCCTACTTTCTCTTCTAAGAGATTCAGTGTGGCTGGATTGATGTTGAGGTCTTTGATCCATTTGGACTTGATAAACTGCAGAATTTTATTAATAGAAATTTATCATTCCTTTTAATCATCATCAAAGTAGTAAACTTATGCCAATCTTGTATATTCATAATATACCTATAACAATGAAAAACTAATAGGATGGGAATATTTGCAGGAATATTCCTGTCACACAGTAGGAATATTTAAAATCATTACAACATGATGTTAAATTTTAACAGTCCTATTTACTGTGTTAACAGCATTGGATATAATGTTTACAATAGTTCCTCACTGTCAAAAAGGAAAAGCATGGATATGTTTATATTTCTTTTTCTGAAGATTTTATTTTTTATAATTTTTTATTTGAATTTTAAACAAGCTTGTTTTACATGTCAATCCCAGTTCCCTCACCCTCCTTTCCTCCTCTGTTCCCCACCCCACCCCTACATCCCATTCCTTTTTTGCTGCCCAGGAAGGTGAGAACTTCCACTGGGGAATCTTCAAAGTTTGTCAAATCATTTGGAGCAGGGCCTAGGCCCTCCCCTATGTGTCTAGGCCACGGAAGTATCCATCTATGTGGAATGGGTTCCCCTTCTCTGGGAAACTATTTATGTCTCTCTTAGGGATCTCCTTTTTTCCTAGCTTTTCTGGGGGTGTGGATTCTAGGCTGATAATATTTGTTCCATGTATAAAATCCATATTTGTGTGAGTACATACTGTGTTTGTCTTTTTGTGACTAGGTATCCTCAGTCAGGATGGTTTCTTCTAGTTCCATCAAGTTGACTGATAATTTCAAGATTCTATTTTTTTCTGATGAGTAGTACTCCATTGTGTAAATGTATCACATCTTCTTATCAGGATTATATGCAAAATTAGCTCCTGGATAACTAGTAGTATGTCATGCCATTTTTTTTAACTGGATGTACACATGACAAGATTGCTTAGTATATTCAAATATTTTACAAATGTGGAGATACTTGAGATATGCCTGCCTGTCCTTTATTCCCACTAAAGTTTACCCTTTTGGGGGTAATGCTTCTACTAAAATATATTTTAACCATCAATTTACTAATTCTCAATGTAAAACTCAATGTTTACCAATCTAGCTTAATCCTTTTGGTCAATAGCTTCTCAAAGTATTTGTAAGAAAGGAAGTTCTTTCCGAGTCAAACAAAAATTTTAGGCTATTTTCAGAGATTTGAGCACATCACAACACTCCAATTTTAGCACATTTATACTACCTTGAAGAGAAATTTTGCTGGCTTTATAATCTGTCTGAGCTACTTCTCTAGTCTTAGAGGACCATTAAAATATTTTTGTATATATTATTTGTGTTGTCTTGATATGTCACTCCACTCAGATCTTCTCATATGTGCTCTTCTCTGTGTACCTTCTTTCATTGGGTCTAATATTTGGGGGTCCTCAGTATCACCACAATTATTTTTTTTTACTTGAGTTTACTTTTGTTACAATGATAAATATTACATCTTCTGATACAGAGTGGATGGATCAGAGGTACCCACTCAGCTCAGTAGCTATGTTGATAACCCCACTGGCCTTGTGTATCTTTATTTTAAATGGGCTCAACTACATTTTACAGTATGAAAATAACAGAGAACAAATATAACTTCTAACATGAGGCAAAGCTGGCAAGTCTCCAGCCATTTTTCATATAATAGTGGTTTTAATAAAACCAGTGATGTGGCAAAATACTCAGCCTCCCACCAGTGATTATGCTGCTAAATGCTTTTCTAAATATCTTAAAGGAAGAACAGTTTCCGTACAATCAGTTGTTTGTAGAACTAAAGCTTAAACATTTCAAAAATGAAGTAATGCATACAGGACCACAACAGATGTCAGGAAAGCTAGTAGAATGGATGCAGTAGATGTTTAACACATTCTTGGTTGCTGTATTTCTCTGATTACCTAGTAAGAGACTGTGGAGTGACACAGTTTGCAGACCACACTGGGTATTACTTACACCAGCTATGATAAAGCAAGGAGGATAACTCAGGCACATGGAGATCACCAAAAGGCCTTTGAAATTGTGTTTGTCATTAAGTTTGTTTTCCATATGACTCCATCCATTCCTTTCCCACATACTCCAAGGTAGAATGTCAACCATGTCCTTTCTGATATTTCCTTCGTTTGCTTTTAAGCTATTACTCTATTCTTTACTGGGGGTGTTGTTATGGGAGAAGTATGTTTTACACCCAGAAATACTAAGAAATGCCTGTACTTAGTTTTTCATTATCTAAAACATAGTGTTACTTTCTACTTGTGTACTTAAATCACCTTAGCTTTTTGAAAAAAGACTCTTTCATTCTCTTCTTTATTACATCACCTCTTCTAGCATATTGTTCTATTTACTTAAAACCACGTAACAATCTTAAAATATCCCTCTGTTCAATTCTCCTCATTCACCCCTGAATTTCAAAATACTTTTTTCATCACGATCATATATATGTCTTTATACAAAATAGTTGAAGGCATAGAATTTCAGAAAAGATAAAAGCATACTTTGGTCAATGTAGTAAATGTTCTAGATTTATCAGATTGTGACTGCCTTTAAATCAAACATTTGTGTGACTCCTTCCTTCCAATGCCATGTATTATATTTTTAATACTGCTGGAGAGAACTTTGGTCTTGAGAAAACTTGTGAACACAAACTTACTTCTTCTTCACCACTTTCCAGTTTCCATTTCACATACAATTATTAGCCTGAAACATAATCTGAATATTTATGTTCTGAAATAAGTGGCTTTGAACAACATTCTGATGGCATAGGTCCATGGTGATCTATAATCCCAGTTGTCAGGAAGCTGACACTGGAGAATTATGAGATCAAGGCCAGATAGAGTTACATAGTAAGAACTTGTCTTTATAATAAAATTAAAGGCTATTCTTTTCCTTCCTCCTTTGAACTTAAGATGTCCATTTTAGAGAGGTAAACTCAGCCATTGGAAACACCTAGGAAAAAAAAAAGAGTATAACACTAATGTGCTGTCATTTCAGGTTCCTACCTCTGCTTGCTAAGCTAATTCTATGTGTGATTCACATTGTTATCTTTATTTTTATATTATTTTCATTCATCATCTAGTTACCAGAGAATTCTATGTTTTCTGTTGCTGAAAATCCTTTATTCATCATCCTGCCAACTGTGCAAACTAGTTCTCGCTCTGTTCCTCAGCAGGAAGTCCCATCTCTGCCTTGCCTTAGTCTCTAGAGTAATGCATTCTGGGAAGTAGTTTAACAGGGAAAATAATCTATGCTGATTACATGTTTATTAAGTCATTCTCTGGAGACTGATAGACAAGGAAAGACGGGGTGGCAGGAGTTGAAAGAGAAAGAGCTAAAGCACACGGTGACAGAGAATCTAAGTGGCCTTATTCAACATCAAGGTGAACCAGGCCAACAGTGACATAACCTAGCTATCCTTTCTCCTGCCTTACTATTGGCTGTTCAGATCTTTATTAGAACAGCAGGTATTTTAGACATGCAAAGAATCACAGCTTCACAGAGTTAAACAAATGCAACATAAAAGAATACAATGCATCTTTGCACAATTAAACAAATGTTTCACAAAATAAACAAATGTAACATACCTTAAAATATTACACAAATACATATACATATATCTGTATACACACTATATATATATATATATATATATATATATATATATATATATATATGAATGATATTCCCACAATTCATCCCTGAAACTAGGGCATTCTTTTTAAAATGTGAAGTACTTGTTTGGGGAATGTGTTTTCTAACTGAAAATTTCTTTAACACACAGGTAAAAAATGTGATGAAAACCATCATGGCTGGATTGCAGCAAACCAACAGTGAAAAGATTCTTCTGAGCTGGGTTCGACAATCAACACGTAATTATCCACAGGTTAATGCCACCAATTTCACATCCAGTTGGTCTGATGGCCTAGCTTTGAATGCACTTATCCATAGTCACAGGTGAGTTTATTTTGAAATTTAAATTGTTTTTTAAGAATTGATTTAGACACTGATGGTGTATTTTACTGCTATCTGGTCCCTCTACTATGCCACATGCTGTTAACAATATCAATATAAGTATTTATTGAAACAGAGAAAGCATATTTTTTATGTTGTTTTTTTTTTATTTGAGATAGGGTATCTTCTAGGTAGGCCTGGACTACCTAAAATTTATGATACTACTGTCTCAGTTCTGAGTAATGGGATTACATACTTTAAATACCACAGCCAGGATATTTTCATATTTTAAAATCACATATGGCTATTGTTGAAGGAGGAAAAACCATAGACACATATTACCCTGAGATTCCTAAATAGCTAGAGTATTTTGTAACTTTGCTTAAGGGGACTGATTGTTTTTAATAGAAACAGATGCATAAATTTGAGCCTATACTATCTAACTAAATGTGGTTCCAAATTTCATGTCATTGGTTTTAGTCAGATCAGATAAATGAACAGGTAAATATTTGTTATTTGAAATGCAAGCTTACGTACCAAACACCAGCATGCCATGGAAGTTCTTCTTCTTCTTCTTTTTTTTTTTCTCTAGTCTGGATTAAAAGAAATACCAAATGTTTTAGCAACCATGGCAAAACGAGGGGTATAGTGAGTTCTATATCTCAGAACTTTAAAAGATGTTTCTCTATAGCAGCTAAGCAATTTCTGTCAAATAAGAAACAGCTCTGTGGACCCTCATAAAAATAACAGTGTAACATAATGAACTAAGCAGCTTTTACTGTAGTCCAGGTGTGTTATAATTCTTAAAATGAAGAAATAATGGTTTACTTTTCTTAGATAATAAAGTTTAATAAATTAATTTATGACAGCTCAAATAAAATTAGAACCATGTAGGAATGGTGCATAAATATATGTATATGCATATATACTTATTTATAAATAAAATATACTAAAACAATACTTTCATATATACAAGCTATACAGCATCAATCTAAACATGATACCAAATAACATTTCCTTCATTATTAACTGTCTCTTCAAAAGATGTTTAATTTTTTTATGCCATCAGACTTCAACTTTCCTGAATCTCCATGGAGGTTATTGTTTGTCAGTTAGATTTATCTTTTCTTTGTTCCCTTTTCTTTTTCTCCAACTCTACCATCTCTTCCTTACAGAGAAGGTCAGAATATAAATTTTCCTTGTGGTAAGGCTGAACTCAAGGGCAAACTCAATGTAAGCATCTTTGTCAGATTTCTTGCTCCAGCTGAGCTTAATAAGCCCCATCCAGACTGGGTTTCCAGGTGAGTGATTCAGCAACATGACTGTAGAAAGGAGCCTGACTGGAGCTAATCCACACATTTAACAAAGTAAACAGATTGGTTTTTCATAAATACAACAAAAGAAAGATTTTCACAGCTTCAGTACAGTCAGGTAAGAAGAGATAGATCTATTGATTCCACATCATAAGTTCTTGCTCATTAATGAAGCCACATGTTTCACATTAAGGGCCTGAAGACATATTGATCTTGCTCTTCAGTTATATATTTGCTGATAAACAAAAATATTGAGGACCATTTCATGTACTACTTTTTGGCTCTTTAATATTTTCTTTTCAAGTGGGAAATGGCTTTATTTTCGAAGCATGTACACATACCATATTTGATAATTTTTATAATTCCTGAATATATTTGTAAGTAAAACAGGAAACAACCAGCTTGTTCTATGCCTAACCCACTCTTTCACTGCCACAGTGTAACAGCATTTGCGTATTTTTCCCCTTGGTACTGAATGAGCCATCAATAACTATCTTTTTATATATTACATGTTTAGTTTTCAAGAGGTTCCTCACAGTTGCTTAATGAATTATCTGCCTCTATGTATTTGACAGATGTTAATATTGTTTTTCTAAAGAAAAAAATAGTTAGGCTTTCTCATCCAAGGTAATTGTCATTGGCATTCTTAGGAATGTCATTCAGTGCCCTGATTTCAATGACTGAGTGACTAAGCTATATAGAACAAAGACACAGAGCACAGAGACCTTGGAAATTAAAAGGTTTATGTTCAAACACAATATCCACTACAGTGAAGTTGAAAGGAAACCAGGTTCCAGTTTTACAGAGAGAGACAAAAAGGTAACTGATAAGAAATACATAGCAAACATGAACATTAAATTCTAATACCTTTAAGCTGCACTTAAATTTTTATGCTCTTTCTCTTCCTACTCCAGGACATAGTCTAAGAAAAAGATATCCATTATGTTACCGAGATCTCCCTTTGGTCTAGTCTCAGCTCCTTGTTAATTGTGATCTTTGTTGAAAGGATCCAGGTGAGAAGTAAGAATTTATTATAGAAAACATGAGGTACACCCAATGGAGAAATGGGCCGTGCTTAAAGAGGCAATTTGTTGAGGCAAACACTGTTAGAGGATGAGTGTCAAGAGTAGTCAGAGAGACAATTTTATAGAAAAAACTTTAGACGGATGAGAATACACATTAACTAAAAGGACAATTGTACACCCTGTTTTTCAGGTAAGCATCATACTGTTTCTTATAGTTCCTAGAACAGAGCTTTGTGGAATTACATTTTCCAGCCTATGTGATTGAGAAAACCATTTGAACTAACTTCTAAGTGCTAAAGTGGCTTACCTATATTTTATGTCAGAAAACTAAAACAAGATTGTATGATTTTAATCTTCTCAATAGTACAGAAAGTCGTGTCTCAACCAAGGGCTAAAGAGAGATTCAGATTCAGAACCAATTCATTTACCAAAGTCCTGAAATTTTGGTTTCTCAATGCATAAGCCGATGATGATGAGGAAAGTGTACATCCTCAATAACCCTTAACCCAGTTAATATCTGTTTAGCTACCTAAGAGTCATCCCAAATTGCAATCCTCAAAACATTTAGAATGTGACCACTTAATTAGTTATATGTTGCCTTTCCAAAGGGTCTTTGGGAGGATTTCCTCAGAAGACTCTCCTTTGTAAGTTTTACTTGGGAATGGTGAATCCAGTTGGAAATTTATAGCTTGGTGACTAGATGAGAAGGAAAATCTATAGGAAAGGGACCTTTCTATGTCCTTTCTATGAGTTAGTTAGTTGTTGGTCTTAAGGGCCTTATCTGTAAGTTCTGATTGATGAGAACATGTTATTAATCTCATGAAGGTTTTTTAAAAATCATATTTATGAATGGATTTGAAATCTCTATAACGCATATCAAATTTCACTGAATCTGGAGGCAGATTATAGATTATATATAATAATCTACAAATGGGTCTGAATATAGAAATGATAACCCATCTTATGCTTATGACTAAATAAGAAACTAAGTCCTTTGTGAACTTCAGGGTGTTCATGGTAGCATTTCACTTCAGGTAAGATTATATATATTTGTATGTGTATCTATCTGTTTAAGTGCATGTCATGTATGTGTAAGTGCCTTCAGAGGTCATAAGAAGGTACTGAATCCCTGAAAGGTGTAGTTAAAAGCAGTTGTGAGCTGCCTGATATGGGTTCTGGGAATGACTTCATGTCCTCTGGGAAAGGAAAAGCACTCTTAAACACTGAGCAATCTCTTAAGTCTGATACTATGAATGCTCTTTAGTGGATAATTTTGGGTCTCAATTGAAATATGTGCTTTTCTAGAGGACTGAATTCTCCAAAAGGAATGAATACAATATTTAATACCCAGAGATATTTTTACAGACTTAATGATAATGGAGATAAAGAAAAGGGAATTATGGTACTAAAGAGATCTCAAGTTTGAAGAACAATTTTAGTTTCTGGCATTTGAAAAATGCAGCACCAATACACCAATAGCAAACATGTAAAGGTACATACTGTAAAGAGCATTCAATGCCAAGGAAAACACTATACATACTAATAGCATAAAACATTTTCTTAATAATATTTTTTTAACTTTTTGAGATTAATATAATTATGTCACTTTTACCTTCTATTTTCTCCTCCTTAACCCTCTCCTCTTTGAAATTCATGACCTAAATATGACCCAAACCAGAAGAATACCAGTAGACATGATAATAGGAAAAGGGAAAAACTCACTGATGTCTTAAGCCTAGCAAAGAACTAGAGGCAACTGATGGACACCAAAAGCAGGAGGATCAATATTCCCTAGAGAAGGGCACAACAATTGATTATTCAATACCAAATGATTATCTCTGAAAAGATATGTACAAATAAATGATAAGGACTAATTTTATTGCATGTTTTATATTTTAGAGAGTGTGTGTGTATGTGCATATACATACATATGTAATAACAACTAAAGTAACTTGCTTTTAAGAAATAATTATTTTATCTATCTATTCTCTGAGAATTTCATATATGCTTACATAATAGTTGGATACAGAAAAAAATAAATGTCTTGATCAGCTTTGTTTTCTCTGCTAGATAAAGAATTAAAGGCAAGAAAATTTTCAGCTGTAGCACAGGAATTTCAAACACAGCAACCACAATCAGCAGGTTAGGGAAACATATTTCCTGTGGATGAGGTTTATACATATGCAACAGGCACCCAGAGAAACTGACCCTCTGCAAAGCAGAGAGGGCACTCAAAAAACTGAAAAATGTGGTTTCTTCTCAAGGTTTAGAGTTTGAAAGCCTCTGAAGAGTTTTTCTCCTCCTGATTTAGAGTTGGTAAATTTGAAGAGAAATAGTATGGTTGACTAGCTAGATACTGTCATTAACATGTCTTCATCAAACCTTGAACTTTTGTGGTAGTCTGTCAGCAGGGAGATTTCTGGTGGAAGACAAATGCTAACATAGCCTTTGATTTATGCTGTCAGGCTTTTGTCTCAAATCAGGAGGGTAAGAAGAAACCAGCTATCTTAAGAGTTTGCAACCACTCTTCCCAATATTAATGACCCCTCTCTATCTATCTGGCTACCATGGAGTCTCTATAACACCTAGTCTCCTATTTCAATGTTAGAAGTCACCCTAACTGCAGTTAGAGGCTTGAAGACACTTATGGCTCTTAACTGCATCCATCTGACAAGGATGGAAGGTATAGGATCAATAATAAGGATTTCTCAGAGGAGAGGGTTGATCTAAGCGGCTTTGAGAAAGCTTAACTGATGGCAATAATACAAAACACAAGATAGCAATGTGGAAGTTTGTGTCTTTGGAATCTGTCATATGAGGCCAGTAATATCTATGACATATAAAACATTAGACTATTAGTAGTACCATAATTCTTACTCAATGTGTAGTTAGAGAAAATGTGCCTCTTTATAAAAGGAAGTAAACCAGCCAAAAATCATTGGCAGGCTTTGTCATATGTAACAACTTGACTGATGATTTCTCTGCCTCCATCATCTACTTAACAATGAGATGTATAACATGTTGCAGGTCATCTTAGAAGTTTTAGAGTTCAAGATGCCTTTCATCTACCAATCTGAATTCAGATGCTGGGTAATGAATCTCTTCTACTGTAACTCCATGAGGGACATAAATAGATTAAAAGAGAGAAATTCCTTGACATCATGGTGTAAGGAGTAAGGTTTTTCCTCCCGTCTTGTCCTGCTGCTGCAGCAGCCCCAATTAACACACAGAGACTCTGTATTGATATAATGCTGTTGGCCAGTTACTAGTTTCTTATTGCTAGCTCTGTCTTAAGTATTAACCCATTTGTGTTAATCTAAGTATTTCCAGGTGGTCTTCTTACTGGGAGCCTTACTGCTCTCTCCAGACTCTCCATCTTGACTCTTCCTTACTACTTCCTCTTTCCTCCTTGTCTCCTAGTCCCACCTATCTTCCTTCTCTATTGGCCAACAGTGCTTTATTCATTAACCAGTATGAGAAACATATTTACAGAATCGCATCTCCCATCATCATGGTTAAAATAAGTTTTGTTTAGAAATGTGAGACATATTTTTCTAGCTGGCTAGAATCTGTACCAGAAACTTGTCACCTAAATAGGTGAAAGGCCTAATGGCAGTTTCTTACCAGGAAGACATGCCTCTGCCCATATACCAGCTGTAATGTCCAGTAAAACTGGACAATATGGGAAAAACCTGAGTGAAATCAAGCTTACATTCATTGAAGGCATAACCAGACTTAAGCATCTGTAAGTTTGCCAATAGAGTATCTGCAAGCCTCCTTTAACCAGAAAACATGATTTGTTAGGACTCGGTATATTACATTATAGCTATGAGAAATAGTATTTAGAAAGCAGGTAGGGATACCAGGAAGGTAATCATTAGTGAGAAATACTTGTTCAAATAATCTTTCTTGCTTAAGTGTAATGTCTGAAGACTAGTAAAGAAATATACTGATATTTTAATACTGGTTATAATTTCCTTTTGCATGTTTAAGACCAAATTTAAGGCAAAATTTATCATGTTCTTTTTATTCTCAAGAATGTTTGAAGATCTTCCCAGTGCAGACTTTGAAGGAATCTTGGAATATTCATACACTCCGTTAGCATAGGGAAAACAAGATTAGGAAAGACATCAAGAAGGTTGCAAATCCTCTTTGATTCTTTCAGCCAAGCTTCTTGAGAGGGCAAATCATTACCAAGTGAAAGGGTGGTCACTGAGACCAATGTAAACTGATTTGTGATTACATATGCCTGCAGTTCCACTTCCCACCAGGTTTTAGTTATAACACAGGTATCGTTATTAGACCTCATTAGTACAGATCAAGTTTAGGATGACATGGTTACAGAACTAGCTTCCTCCAAGTTCCTTTCCTAGGACAGAATGAGACATAGAGTGCACCAATTCACTCTCAATATCATCCATAGGAAAAATCAAGATAGGACAGCATAGATTCTGATGAACGGATACTAGCTCCCTATAAAAATTTTTGAGACAACAGACTTGTGTGGGAAGTACACTAATTCACATACATATTCCTACATAGGATAAATCAAGGGTAGAACAAAATGGGATCCAAGAGGCAGATACTAGTTCCCTCCAAGCATAATTCTTAAAGTAGACTGAGGTGGAGAGTATACTATGTCAATCCTAATTCCTTTTTAAGTCCACGTCAAGGTTAGGAGGATATGGAATCTGAAAGAAAAAAAAAAAGCTTCCTCTAATCATCTGCCAAAGTACTGACTGAGATGGAGAATACCTTATTTAACTCCTACCCTACACCTTTAGAAAGATCAAATTAGGAATGACATACAATCTGGAAGAAAGACACTAGCATTCTCCAAGCACACAAGCACACGCACACTTGTTTTTGTACAAAGAAATTGTATTTTATTGTAATTGTTGCTCTTCAACTTTGTGGAAAACTGCCATTAATGTTTATTCTTTTAAGAGATAAAAACAGAACCATCTCAGTGGAAATCTCAGCTCACTTATCCAGTGACAAATGGTGACAAAGCCACCTATAGAAATAAAAAATGCTTCTTCTTCTTCTTTTTTCTTTCATTTTTGTTGAGATTAAGATAAGGAAACTTTACCTCTGCTCACTTGATGCCGTCATGGGAAGAAGTATTCTGGAAGGTAGTGCTGGCTTCATCTCCAAGCACACTTTCTAAGAAATACTGAGATGGAAAGAACATTTGTGTACTTCTATCTTCCTCAGTAGATCAGATCAAGGTTAAGACATGTATTTTGAGAGACAGATGTTAAATTTCTCTAATAGGAAAGATTAAGGTGAAGGAACACAAGTTCACCCCTAACCTTAAAAATAGGACTGACTAAGATTTGGACAATATGGGTACTATGACACAGACACAATCTTCTTCATAGGACAGATTGAGTATGAAACCACATTAGATCACACACAACTTCTATAGGACAGGTTAATTTTGGAAGGATGTGGATTCTGAGAGTCAGACACTAGTTTTTTCCAAACCACTTTCATAGGATGAATGGAGTTAGAGAACAACGAATTCATTTCTAACCTCCTTAGGACAGGTCAAGGTGTGGACAGCATGGAAAGTACAAAATTGAACTACCTCATAGTGTTCTTTGTAGGCCATACTGAGTTGGAAAGCACAGTAGTTAACTTGTAACTTTTTTTCTGTATACCTAATTATATTAGGAAAATATGGATTCCAAAAGACAAAACCTAACACCCTGGAATCCTCCTTTCTAGCAAAATCTGAGATTGAGATTTCACAAGTGCATTTTTACCCACCTTGAACACTTCAAATATACACTGTAAACTAGATCATAGTTACAAGATCTTGGAATCTGAGAGACAGATGCTAGTTCCTTTCAGCACAGTGGTTCTCAACATGTGAGTTGATGGGAGATGTCAGTCTATAAATATGTTTCTCATACTGGTTAATGAATAAACCACTGTTGGCCAATAGGAAAGTAAGATTGGTTGGACTAGGAGACAATGATTAGAGGAAGTGGTAGGGAGGACTCAGCATGTAGAGACTGGAGACAACAGAGGTCCAGGGTCTCTCTCCAGTAAGATGAGACCACGTGGAAATACTCAGATTAATAGAAATGGGTTAATACTTAAGACATAGCTAGCTGATAATAAACAAGTAACAGGCCAATAGCATTATATTAAATACAGAGTCTCTGTGTAATAATTGGGGCTGGCATGGTGGTGGGTCCAGTCTGGCAGGGAAAATTCTTACTTATAACAGTGAGTTATGACCCTTTTAGAAGATCAAATCACCCATTCACAGGGGTCACCTTAGACAATTGGAAAATTCAGATTTTCCATTATAATTCATGACCATGGCAAAACTACAATTAAGAAGTAGTAGTGAAAGTAATTCCATGGTTTCAGAGCCCAACAATATGAGGAAGTGTATTAAAAAAACAGAATTAGGAAGGTTGAAAACTATGGCTGTAGCTCTTTTTCATAGGATGGGTGGAAGTGTATACCATGGTAGCAAACTCCAATAGTTATCTATATAACAGAAAAAGATGGATTCTAAAGGACAAAGACTTTTTAATGCTTTGGAAGGAAAGGATGAAGTAAACTGCTCACTTCTCAACACATCACTATTTACACTATGTACATAGAGCAAATAAAGGTTAGGATAATATCAGCTTTCAGAGACAGTGCCCTCCAAGCCTCATTTGTAGCATAGACAGGTGAAGATTACTGTAGCTAATGATTAAATTTCTTCATAGGGCAGATTAAGATTAAAATGAGTCAGATACTGAGATACACTCACTAACTTCATACTATAATGCGTTATAAGAAAGACTGTTGTGGAGAACACACTAGTTGACTCTAATCCCATCAACATGATATACCATATATAGGATGAAATGGATAATGAGAGACAGATGCAAGCTCCCCACAAGCCTCCATCTGAGGTCATAGTGAATTGGAGAAAATAGTAGTTCACTCATAACCTCTTCAATAGAAAAGACTGATAAATGTTCTCTGAGAAGCAGACACAAGCTCACCATAAACCTCCTTGGTAGGGCAGAATGAGTTGGAGTGAACATTAGTTCATTCCTTTCTCTATCTGTAGGGGAATCAAGCATGGGAAAACCTGGGCTTTGAAAGAGAGAAACTATGTCCCTGAAAAATTCTTCAGGTAGGAAAGATTAAAGTAGAAAGCATGGTGGTTTACTCCTAATCACCTCCACAGGATAAATGAAGTTTAACATGAAATGGACTTAGTGTTCTGTAGGAAAGATCAATTTAGATTCTGAAAGAAAGACATTAGCTCCCATCAAACCTCCTTTAGGAAGAGTGAAGTGGAGAGAACACTAGGTCACTTCTATCCTCCTACTTAAAAAAGAGAAAGGGGCTGAAAATGGATATTCTGAGAGAAAGAAAAAACTTTCTCTAAGCCTTCTTTGTAGGAGATTTTCAGGTTGAGAACACACTGGAACATAACTTGGTCTTATGACAAATCAAGTTTAGAAATAAATGTGTTCTAAGACAGAAAGCAGCTATCTTCAGGCCTTCTTTTCAAACAGATTGAGCTGGAGACCATACTAATTCACTCATAACATACCAGTAACTAAAAAGGTTCAGGCAACATGGATACTGAGAGAAAATCAATAGGTTATTCCATAGGAGGTGATGAGATGGAAAGCACAGTAATTAATTACTTACCTTTTCAATAGAACATATCAAGTTAGTAAAACACAAATTCTGAAAGACACATAATATATTCATATAAACTACCTTGTATGATAGACTGAGCTAAGGAATATACTAATTCAGTCCTAAATTCTCCATAGGTCAGATGAAGGTTAGAATGAGATGGATCCATAAAGACACCAGTTTCATTCCTTGTCTGTAAGACATACTGAGATGGGAATCAGAGAAGAACATTGTTTATATACTATACATAGGAAAAACAAGTTAGGAAAACAAACTATAAACTAGATTCTTCCAATCCACTTTTGTAGAATATAATGAGTAAACACTAGTTTTGCTTTTTAGTATATATCAATTTTGGATTGTGAGAAACAGATACTAGCTTTCTTGGAGCATAGTTGAGGGACAGATTGTGGGGAGAACACAAGAGTTCTGTCTTAACATTGTCTGTGAGAAATACCAAGGAGGTATGTACAACATGGGTTCTGATAAATGTATTCTAGCTCATTCTCCATTACCACAGCTTTAGAATAGTGTCAAAATCATACTAGTAAGTATTATGTATAATCATTTCCAACTAGTTGTTGATCTGATAATGTATTTATAGACTCCAATGTAAAATCCAAAGACCTTGCATCTTGTTACATCTATATTCTAGCTTTATTAATTACATTCATATTTTCTTCCCAATTTTTGCCTTTAAATCTTATAAAAGTGCTTCTTTTTCAAAAATCAAGTTTACAAAGGAATTAGTACCTAATTGACATGGGTGAGAAAATCACAGCATTATGATCATTCTCCCCCCCATTCCCATGTTGTTAATATATTAGTATCATGTCAAAAATATTCTCAACATATGACTTCTGTAAAGGCAGGTAGTTTTTCCTCTACTGTGTGTGCCGGTGAGTTTTATGTCACAACTAAGAATCATTTGGGAAGATAGAAATTCAACTGAGAAAATAATCTCATTAAAGATTGGTTTATAGACAAATTTTATGGGATTTTCTTGATTATTGATTGATTTTGAAGGTCCCATCTCACTGGAGGTGGCAACTCTTTTTGTCTAGTGATCTTGTGAGCAATGGGAATCCAGCATAGGACTAACACAGATATGGTAAATGTGGATGCTAGTCTATGGCTCCTCTAGTAGTAGATTAGTATTTATCCCTTGTATAGGATTGTCTTTGGGAGCCCATTCCACAAAAAGGGATATTCCCTCAACCTAGACACATGGGGAGAACCTGGGCCCTGCTCCAAATGATATGATAGACTTTGAAGACTTCCTGTGGACAGCCTCACCCTCCCTGAGGAGCAGAAAATGGATGGGATGGGGGTTGGTGGGGCGAACAGGGGAAGATAGAGGGTACAGAAAAAGGAACTGGGATTGACATGTAAAACAAGCATGTTTCAAATTTAAATAAAAAAATAGAAAGTAAAAC